AAAAAAAAAAAAAAAAAAAAAGCTTGAAAACCACTGATAATACTACAAAGATCTATTCATGGAATCACATGACACAGGGTATATCTGCTGAGGGAGGGAGCCACAACCAAGATGTGCTGGGTGCTGGAGATTAAAAGATGAAGACCAGTCAGACTTTGCTGTCTGAGAGTTCATGGCCAAATGGAGAACACAGATGAGGAGTGAGTATGACATTTAAGAGTCTCAGTCATCTGTTCAATGGGGATAAAAGCCTCTATTGACTTAGCAGACGTGCTGTGAGGTTCAGAAGAGACTGTATGAGAAAGGGATTTCTGGACGGTGCCTGTGGCTCAAGGAGTAGGGCACCAGCCCCATATACCAGAGGTGGTGGGTTTAAACCTGGCCCGGCCAAAAACTGCAAAAACTGCAAAAAAAAAAAAAGAAAGGGATTTCAAAACTGTCATATGCTACACAATTGTCAGTTTGCGTATTGCTATGTTCACTCTGAATCTTGAGATATTTTTGTGGGCCAGCATATGGCACTTTATCACTACCAATTTCAGTTTCCAACAAACACATATAAAGACAAAATACAGAATAATTACATTCACAAGAATTAGAATACTGCCTAAAAACAGCATAGTTCAAAAGGTTATCTTAATAATAGAAAAGAATCATTTTAGGGCTGAAAAAATTATTTCACATAACAGGCTATATATACATTTACATTATAAAAAAAGAACTTAAGGATAAGCGAATTAAAAGTAAAAAAAAATAGTAAAAGTTGATGTGTATGTTCCTAACAATTCAAAATATTTAAAAAACTGTATAAAAAAATTCTAAGGATAAAGTTATATCAACAGAGATGAACTATGACAGGAAAGACGTATGTTCTATCCAGGGCATCACAAGATACTTACAGCAGATAAGGCCAGGATTTGTTGTTGAATTGTTTCTTCATCGTTACTGTCAACCCATGGGGGCACGGCTGCTTCTATAGAGTTTTCAATGACAAAGAAAAAAAGAGAAAAAATAAGTAACAATGGTTATACTATAATCTAAGAATGAGGAAGTTTCTGTATGATCAATTAAAATAGGAATTTATCAATAAGTTTTCAAATATGAACATTCACCAGGCTCATGAGCTTTATGCATGTATGCATTTGGTAAAAAATAACTTTTTTTT